GGCTTCAAATTGGCTTCACATGCCGAGCGCTAAGCCCGAAACCCTATAAGCCCTAAGCCCTAAACCCTATAAACCCTAAGCCCTAAACCCTATAAGCCCTAAACCCTATCAACCCCCAAAACCCTAAAGGCCCTCCTCAAGCCCTAAGCCCTACGTTGGGCGTAGCCCTGAGCCCAAAGGATTGGAAACTTCCGGCTCGGGGACGCGGACGGACACCACTTTACCATCTCCCACGAGTTCCTCGGGCGTGAAGGGTTTGCGGGTTTAGGGTTGAGGGGTCTAGGGTTTAGGGGTTTAGGGGTTTAGGGGTTTAGGGGTTTTGGGGTTTTGGGGTTTAGAGCGGGAAGCTAAAGAAGCCCTAAAGAGAGTGACCAAAATCATTAGGGTTTGGAGTTTAGGGTTTAGGCTTTAGTAAGATCACCAAATACGACATTCCTGAATAGAAGCCTAAAGCCATGTACAGGAATCATTAGGGTTTAAAGTTCAAGGCTTAGGCTTTGGTAATATGTGAAGCTTAGAACAAGTTTCGAAAACCTTTCCGTAGGGTTCCGACTACAGCAGTAGTAGAATCTACCCCAAAACCTTCTTCCAATTATTAAGCCCCCGACCGTATTGTAATTGGAGGGTTCGAGGTTTCAGGTGGCGGGGTTTGCGGAAGTTTTAGGGCTTTTGTTGGCGCTCTTGTGGGGGCTTTGAGGATTGTCCCCCACACCCTGATCCATTTAAACCCTGAGCCCTAAACCCTAAACCCTAAGTATCAGGGAGTTTGTCGATCTTGCAAGCCAACTCGAGAGCCCCCCCCAAAAAAACGGATCCTCTCCCAAAGCTTCGACAGAGTGATGTCGTTCGTATCTAGGGCTTGAGGGTTTAGGTTTTTTTTTGGCTTTTAGGATTTAGGGTTTAGGGCAAAGAGGTGTAGGGTTTTCGGGCTTTATTTGTTCACGGTTTTCACGACGGATCGCGAAGGCCGAGCTCCTTGAGCAAAGTTGCCGAAGCCGAAGCCGCCCCAGGAATGGAATCACCATCCAAATCTTCCGCAGCGACGGCGCCCAGGATGCAATTGCTTCGACTGTCCCTCCGGATCCTGAGCCGGGTTCTCTGTACCGATTTTGGGGTTTAGGGGTTGGGGTTTGAGGGTTTAGGGTTCAGGGTCTTGGGGATGTTGTCAAGCTGAAGCCTTAGAGAATCATAGGGAAAACCTGAGGCACACTGCACCCTGGCCCTCGGCACGAGCTGAATCTCTGGTCGCGCACAGCAGGTCCGCCTCAGGCAGAACCGCTTTTGGTGCCGCCTTCCCGGACTGTTAATGTAGGGGCCTTTAATAATTAGAATAGGGTTTAGGGTTTTATTTTACTAGAATTGTGATAAGGAGCCCCTAAAATGGTATTGGTAATTTAGGCCCTAAACTCTTCGGGGTCCTCGGCCCGGTCGCAGGTTCATAATGAAACAAGGACTTGTAAAAAGACTCGCCTTCTTGGGGGGTGCTCGCGTGATGGGTTTCGGCAACACCAGGGATTTTCAGGGAGCAGTTCGGCCCACTTCCGTTGCTGTCGACGTGTTATTTCACAACTGCCAGCTGTAACGTTTATGGACGTACGCGTGCTGCATCGACATTAGGACGGCGGTGCCATCTGAAAGCATTTAATGCACGCATGACACCAAGGAGTGTGCGGGAGTTGACGTCAGGAAACATCCGCAACCGAGGTTCTACCACGGTGGGTTACTTTTGTCAGAGACATGCTATTGATACACGCTGAACACAGGCCCTTATTGAGTTTGCAGGATCGGATTGTGGCGAGGGCTGGGTGCGTGAGAATTTGGACAAATCTGGGGCCACACCGCTTCTCGCCGTGTTGTGCGACAAAGATGTCACACCTGTCAAAGTGTGGCACGACATCGTTTCGCCGAAGACGTTGATAGCGTGCGACACATTGTTACAACTACGCTCGACTGTATTTTTGCCGGACCTGCCCTCTACACGGTTGGCAGTTTTCCTTACGGCGCGGCCCTTCAGCCTGAGCTTCTAAGTATGTGCCGATATGAGCTAGCCTTCGTCAGACCTGACATTGCAATGTCGGCCATGAAACATAAGGAGGTTCGTTCACGAGATTTTGTAGTCGGGAGTTTGCCGACCCAACCCCGAGGCGACATGCATGAAGTTGCGAACTCTGCAGTTCGAAGCCCCAACGCTCGACAGGGCATCACTTTCGGCGATCGTTTCCTGGAAATTGGTTTGTGGCGCTTTGCAGATGTGGCTGGCCAGCAGTGTCGCAACACGTGGCAATTCTTCATGTGTGTTCGAGTGGCAGACAAGCATTTGGGTTGTTCGCGGTGCAACATGCAGAAAAGAGGTTCATCGGTTGGTTGTTTCGCAATGACCAATGGATCGGGATGGAGCTTGAGTATCCAGAATCCGTGCAGAAACAATACCTTCCCAATTGGCTTGGGCTTGTGCTGTCCTACAGTCCAACGCGTTCAAGCTGTTGAGCCCACATGCATTGCTGGTCAGAATTGAAGCTGCAGCCACGACGGCCGATTGTTCATTCAAGATGTAGCCCAGGTGGACGGCGAGCATTTCGCGCTGACGCAGGCACGGGCTAACACTCGATGTTTCGATGCCGATTTCCAAATCCGGCACAAAGCCGCGGGTTTTTTGTGCTGTACGCATCCTCTCCAATTCAGCGTTCTGATAGTTCCGAGTGTTTTTTCGACCAATCTCTTCCACGCACCCTGCCCAGCAGAAAAAATATCTTAGGGTCGAAATTCAGCTGCTTTCGACAACACATCTACAAGTGAAATACCAAGTATCTGTCGCGACCATACGTCCGTTACCACCACATCCCACCTTCAAAATCTATTGTTGGATTTGTTAGGCCCGTCATCTTTGAATGATCGGAAGGCCAAGACAAATTTCCAGTAAATTCAGCAGGTAATTACATTGCAACCTGAAAGCCAATCCGCGACGAATCGTGAGTGAACAAGAAAGTATTGACTTGTGAAACAGCCGCAACTTCGTGGTGCCGGTGGTAGTAGTAGTAGTAGTAGTAGTAGTAGTAGCAGTAGTAGCAGTAGCAGTAGCAGTAATAGCATGAGCAGTGGCGCTAGTGTGAAAAGGCTGCAATACCGAAGCTGATCCAGGCGGGAGGGCAGACGGCACAAATCTTCCGCAGCGACAATCAGCTGTTCCCGGGACCGAACGCCCACTGGACCGGCGTGTTCGACAGGTTCGGCTGGGCTTCGGTTTAGGCTGGAAAGCTGCGGACGATGTCCGAGAAGAGGAGTAAGGCCGTGACTATTCTACCGGGCATGGCAAGAAGCAATCTCCAGTTTGCGCCGTCGGGTTTGGCCACGCTTCAGGCACAGATTTATAATATAGACGCCCCCCAACAATTCGTCCCCATCTTGTATCGTTATCACATGCCAAAATGAAGGATCTGCACAAGCTCAGTGCGAATTACGAGAAGCTTCGGGTGTGGCCAAAGCCTGCCTGGTTTAGGGTTTCCAGGAAATTCTGTCGCTGCTTGAAAACCGATTCGGCTTTCGAAGGGCTTTAAGGCCTTCAATTAAGCCTTTGTCAGGGATTCCGTTCGACGTCGATGCCCTGCTCTCGACAAGCTTTGCACGCCAGGTATCCCGAGTACCACTGCGGCTCCATCCACTCCGTTTTTGGATCCTGCACCGGGCTTGTCACCGGTGATCGGTTCATCCAGCTCCTCTGAAAAAGTTACCAGGGGTTTCCGGATGCTGCAAATATGTCCAGAAACACTGTGTTGAAGCACGCGGCACCCTAAACCCTAAACCCTAAACCCTAAACCCTAAACCCTAAACCCTAAACCCTAAACCCTAACCCTAAACCCTAAACCCTAGCCCAGAGCATCCCTGCGCAACACCGGGGCCCTTCAGGTTGGGAGATTGGCGCCTTGCCGACATCGACGGAAACCACTTCTCCCTGTCCTGCAAGACGGGGCAGACTTCCCAGGCCTGCCGTGCCGGCATCGGGTTTCAGGGTTCAGGGCCTTGGGTCTGGGTTTTGAGGTTTCGTAGCATGCCATCAGAAGGAGCCCTGAGGGAGATTTCGGAGCGATTTTTTCGTAGACGTATCATCTTTTGAGGAGCGCTAAGGAAGAAGATTGGCGAGGGCTGAGGGTTCGAGATTCGAGTATGTGGGGCCACAGAAAAACTTCGCAGGCGACGCGAGTGTTATAGAAATCGCACGTCGCACGTGTGTTGTTTCTAAGTCTGGGCGGAAGCCAAAGCCAAAACCCTGAAGCCTCTGAGCCGTGACCCGAAACAACCCGAAAACACCCGAAAAAGCAGCCGGAAACTTCTAGCCCCAAAACCCCTACAGTACCCCTTTGTAGCCTTCTGAAGCATCCAGCCCTTAAAAACCCCTAAACCCTAAAACCTAAGCCCTACACCCTAAAGTCCTGAACGGAGCCATTAGTTCCAAGCCTCGGAGCGGAGTGCCTTCTGCAACTGCGGGGCACCATCAGAAGCCTGCGTCATGAAGAGGTCCTTGCATGAAGGCCCCTGCAGTTTGGGTTTGGGGCTGATCTTGGGGTCCTTCATTTTCTGAAACTCTCGCTTGGTGGCGGCGGCCGTCGTCGTCGTCGTCTTCGTGTTGTCTCAGGTATTTCACCGCGATGGCACCGTGCTACTTGGCAAGAGGCTGAGGGCCTGGGGTCTAGACCGATGCTTCTGTCTATTGAGTCTACTGCCAGGTTTACTTTCAGACGCAGAATCCGACGGCCAGCCACAACACCTGAGCACGGTTCAGGGAAGAAGGGGTGTGGAGGTCCAGGCTGTTGACTTTCTTGTCTGCGTAAAGCGGGCGACAGATCTCGCACGCCTTCCCGAAACTCAGGCTGAACAGCGTATCCCGACCACCAGACCTCACACCCTAAACCAAAAACCGTTAACCCTAAACCCTAAGCCCTTAACCCTGAACCAAAAACCCTAAACCCTAACCCTAAACCTTCAGCTTCATGCTTGACCTTGATTCTGCTTAGGGCAGCTTTGGGGTTCTTCCGAGGAGTCGTCTCGACTCAAATTCCCTGAACTCGAAACTTTGAACCCAGAACCGAAATCCCAAACTCCAAAGCCGAGGCCCTAGCCCCTGAACCCCGAAACCCCGAAACCCTTAAATCAAAAGTCCAAATCCATAAGCCCCAAAACCCTAAACCCTCTAAGCCCCAAACCCTAAGCCCCAAACCCTAAACCCTCTCAGCCCCAGGTGTAGGGTTTAGGGTTTAGGGTTTAGGGCCTAAACCCCAAACCCTAAACCCTCTAAGCCCAGTTGACCGTGTTTCGGACCAAGGCTGCCAGGTCCTCGTACGGACCTCGGGGCCTGGAAACGCGAGGCCTGAGAGCTTCTTTGGTATGGACTAGCTCTTGGGGTGTATGGCGTAGGGTATTATACTTAGAGGGATTTAGAGGGTTTAGGGCTTCAGGGTTTGGGTTTATAGGGTTGAGGGTTGGGGTTTTCGAGGTTCAGGTACTGATCGCTAGTGAGCAGTGGCATTCGGCCGTTGTCATCGTTGCCTGTCCCTCTCTCACAGTCGTCTGTCCTTCCCTCCCCTTCACAACAAGCCCGATGTGTTGACATGCTCCCTTGGTCAAGGCTCGCGGTGACAGAGGAAGTTGAGCTGTGGGCAGCGGCGGAAGCTCCTAGAACTCTTACCCCTTGCCGTGTCTACCCCGCTATGGCCAAGAAGCTCCCTGAGCCCTGCCAGGCGAAAGGCCTGGAAACGCCCGGTGTAACCTTCGGAGACCGCTTCCTCGAGCCTCCCGGACTAGGGTGTAGAAGTCCTTGCTGGTTCTCTGCCTTGTAAACGTGTAGGGCTTGCACTGCTTTGGAATAACCCAAGGAACCAGAGGGGTTGGCTCAAGGTGTAGCTTTATTGAGCCGAAGCTGCAGATCGACGAAAAGTTGCATCACGCTACTTCTGCTGTCCTTCAGCTCCAAATCCTGCAAACCCACACTGATTTCCCTGTACCGTCCGGGATGTGCGTGTGTCTCTGTGTGTGTGAATCTGGCATGTGTGACTGGCAACGGAGCCTCACAACGATGTTTCAGATCCGAGGCTTGGCCAGTGGCGCTTGTGGGCTGAAGGCCAACAGCTTGTCTTATCCCACCAAGCGGGGACCAGCGTCACTTGGATTGCTTGCAGAGAAGTCAACTCAAGCAAAACACCGTGTTCGTGCTGCCCACTCATCAATACCACAGCCTTTCTTGTGAGCCAGCGACAAGGTGCTTCCACAGCAGTGCAGCACCGCAGCAAACACTCATTTATTGTCGACGTCCTGCTATGGGCTCTGCCTGTGTGAACAAGGTGTCTATCTGCCTGTTGGGGCTGTTTAGCCCAGCCCTCGGTCATACCCAACTTCCGTACAGTCTGCAGGCAGAAGGTCCTTCGAAGCAGGGGGCCGTTGTAGCGCCCCGACCCAGAGATATTGAAGGAGATTTTGTAATTGTGTTTCTCGTAGTCGTTCATCGGTTTTCTCCTCCTCATCCTCCTCCTCCTAAAGCCGAAACCCTAACCCCCAAACCTCTGGGTTCTTTTCGGTTGCCTTTCAGTTGATCCCGGCCTTCTCAACCCAGAGACCCTTTAGTCCTCAACCTCAATCCTTCATTCGACACCTGTACAAAAACTGCAGAGTCTTCTTGAACTTTCCCTGAAAGTGGTGTTTGTGCTAAGGTCAAAGTTTACCAGTCTGATGGCTCCAGCGCTGGACGCCGTTGCTGCAATGCTTCGGGTCTTCACGGGCTGTCCCAAAACCGCAGTCTTTCAGGCCGTCAAGGCAGGTGTAGCTTCGACCTGTTGGGGGGGGGGGGGGCATTAAAGCTGTTGCTACCGTCTCTAGTACAGCTGTAGACTGCGTGACACTGCTTGGAGCGCGTCGATAGGCGGACAGGTTGTGATTGGTCCCTCAACCCAAGACCTGACTTTGTTTGAATCGGTTGCATCGCCCCGTCCGGAGCCCAAGGAAGTCCTGGCGCCTCGGCGGCCTCTGCCTTCGCCCGCCCAGCGTCCGAAATTGGAGGGGTGGCCTTTGGCGACCGCTTCCTGCAGGTGCGAACTTGAAGCCCTGGAGTACTGAAAGCTTAGGGTTTTCCAGTCGTCCGGAGTGTCGGTTCTGAGGGAGTCGAGGGATTCAGATTCAGTTGAAGAGTTAGTGGTGTAGGGCTCGAGCGTGTTCAGATTGGGGCAGAACGCTCTGCCTGGCCCTTTCAACGTAGAACCCTCAGCCCCAAAGGCTGGATAAGCTCTCCGCAAAGCCCCAAGCCGGAGCCAGCAAGCCATTCTCATCCTTCGCCTGTGGGGGAGATTGGCCACTTCCGCCTGGGCGACGTGGATGGTGCGCACTTCGCCATCTCTCACCCGGATGGGCTCTCGGAGGCCAGGGCTTGGATTAAGGTCATGTGAAGGGCTCGAGGTCTGAGGTTCTCCGTCGTATGAGGCCCTGAATCATCGTAGCAATTGATCATAAGAAGAAGGGACTCCAGGGCTTGAGTTTCGTAAGACTTGCGAGAGAAGAAATCGTGGCAACCTCCATTGATCTTTCCGGTAATTACGAACTGCCTACGAACTTCAGGGTAACCCCAAGCCGTAAATCCTACACCCTCGACCGTAACGCCTGGGCAGCAAAGGGCTGGGCTTGGGGTGACGAAGCAGTTCGGGCTGGGGAGTACCATTGATTCAGCATTTCTGGTCGCCTGCAGAGAATGCTAAACCTCAACCCTCCAGCCCTGCTTCGCAGGTCCATCACAGCATCTTGGGCTTGAGTGGGCATCTTCTCTTTTGTTTGCGAGTAAGGCTTCGGAAGAGTACACGGTTTTCGGGAAGCAGCTTCGGACAGCCGTACAAATTAAAGTCCTTGGAAAGCGGCCACAGCCTTAGCCGGGGAATTGTAGAATAATCCCTGGCACCAACGTATAAACCCTAGGTCCAAGACCCGAAACCCTGGAAACGGGCTAGAGCCCGAAACTGTACACCCGAAACCCTCGACCTGCAACCCCAAACTTCAGCCCCAGCCGGGAAAAAACACCCCAAGATGTGCCCTTCTACTGCAGCCGAGGCGACGGAACGCTCCTCCCCTCGGGCACAAACACGAGCGCTCTGACCACCCTGGGCCGTCGCCTCGAAGAGTGCCAGCCCCTCTGAGGCCCCGGCCTCGGAGCTCCGAAACGAAATAGAGCCCTTCGGCCTTAGGAGCTGGGCTCTGCCGGGCAGAATAGGGTCGGCTGTGAAGCGGCCCTGAATGCCTGCGACTTCGCGGAAAAAGGCAGGACAGTGTGGACTCTGGATTTTGGGATTTGGAGCTCGCGGCGCGTGCAGGTTGATGAGATGCACCGGTCTGTCTCAGTTGGATCAAGGTTGGCGTTCTGCAAGAGCTGGCAAAAGTCAGTCCTTGGACCCAAACCTCTGTTTCTCTTAACGGCAGCAACGACTTCACTGCCATGCCGAGCCGTGAAGTCGAAGACCCTGAATTGCATTCTCGATTCACCATCAGGGAAGCCCATGCCCTGAACCTCCAGCTGCACAGGCTGCACACCCCCAACCCGAAGCAGATAATAAGGAACCCTAACAGTAATATTGGCAATCATTTTATGTTTCTATACTAAACCCTATAAGGAACCCAAGAAAATCATTTAGGCTTCTATACTAAACCCTATAAGGAACCCCAGTTACGGGAAGCCCTGAACCTTGCACAAAGAAGCCACCCCGAAGTCCTGAAGTCGCCGGCTGGCCCTCTGCCATGCTGAGTGCTCCAATCGCCCTGTGTCCTGCGAGGCCGCAGTGCATGGGTGCGGGATGGTGCGGGCTTACACCTGATAAGGTGTCCGTTGGAGGGCGTTCTGAGCAGTCCCCTGTCCGCTTCCTGGCTTCTTGGGCTCGCAAGCATGCAAATCTGAGCCTGTCAAAGCTGCAGGTCGCCCGGCTGAGCGATGGCTTTAGCGTTGAGGCTTCCTTTTTCTGTTGGGGGTGATTTCAACAAATCGGATGCTTGAAATGCTCCTTCCCAGCCGCCACGACAATCTCAGCACCACGCATGGCCTCCTTACCAGTCCATCGAACTCTTGAGGCCTACAATAGACCCGCTTTGGACAAGGGGTGTCGTTGCGTGTCCTAGCATGCCAGTTTGCGCATGGAGCTTCCCTGTGTCATTGCTGCCCTTCTGCTGCAGTTGAGTCTGGCAGCAATGGCGCGAGGGTCGTTGAGGCACGCTCGCGCTGACGCGATGGAGGCTTGCTTCGGTGGTGCTGCATCGAAAGTTTACAGCTATGAGGCTTGCTGTGCCTGCGGCAACGAATATGGCAACTCGTCAGGACGGGGCCATTGCTGGGTTGGACCCTTCGATTTATCTTACTGCTGCACCTTCTATGCCAGTGACGCGCGCCTGTTGCCACATCTGCCTTGCTGGCGGAACGCCGATGGTCCCAAACGCCGGGTGCAGTTTGAGCTTGCTGGGAGAGAGTGGACACTCTGGCAGAAGCCCCGGGAGCCCTTCGACACACGAGGCATCACGGCGCACGTGATGTGGCCTTCGGCCTACGCTTTGGCCGCTTGGATGCTGGACAAAGAAGGGACCGCCGCAGATGCCATCGTAGGCTGGGTTCTTGTCAGGGAGCTTAATCTAAGTTCCCATAATAAGGATCTATGGTAAATACGGTTTCGCTATTGTGGCAACTTCAATCGTAAGCATGGTTTCCCTATCATGGTGACTTCAACAGTAAATTACCTATCGTGGTAACTTCAACAATACATATATGGTGTTCTTAGCATGGTAACTTAAGTAGTACATATTTGTTTCCTCAATGTTTGGGTACCTTAAATGAAAGATCCCCTATAACACAAGCCCAGTAGGAAGGCACGTGCTTGAGCTCGGCTGCGGCTTGGCTCTGCCATCGCTGGCGGCCGCCTGGGGAGGTGCGGCCACGGCCCAAGGCACCGACATCGATCGGGACCGGCCTGCTGCAGCGAGAGTCCAACAGCACCAGTTTGTTTGCACTGGCTGAATTGTGTGTGTGTGTCGTTGACATCAGGGCAATCATAATCATCACAGCCGTATGGTGCAGATGGATTCCCTCTTTTGTCTCCTATCTCTCCCTCTCTCAGGCTATGTGGTAGGTCGAGGTAGGTGCGGCACACGCATTCTCACAAGGGCGTACATCTGGCGGTCCAGGACGCGGTGCACTTGGCTCGGAGAGCTGCCCGGGCCAATTTGCCGGAGCCCTTTTTCTCGCGCTTCCGGGCGGACGCCTTGGACTTCCGGGACGCGGCGTCCGTGGCGACGGTTTCGGAAAAGTCGCCGAAGGTGGACACGGTGCTGATTTCCGGGCAGCTCTACGAGGGAGCTCTGAGCGTCCCTCTGCTGCATGCTCTGCAGACGCTCTGCTCCCGGCAGCTCTGCACGGTGCTCATGGCGCCTGCGTCTGAATATTGAAATCCCTAAGCCCTCAACTCTTAACCCGAAGATGCTCCAGAAGCGAAGCCTGAAGGAAAACAGCAGAGAGATGCTAGGGATTAAGGAGCCCAAAGTTGAGCCTCGATTGTATTTTGCGGCAGTTCGAAAATGGCATGAGGTAAACTGAACCCAACAACTTGGAGGTATTCTGGATCTCGATTGAGTTCTCAGACACGCAGATCGCGTTCTTGGATCGCATGAGCCAAGTGGGCTTCAAGGTAGTGGACGACTTCGCTTGCCGCGAGCGTGGCTATGCGAACCCGGGTTCAATGTACGAATGCTACAGGTTCGAAAAAAGCACCTCCTCTCTCGGTATGGTATAGATGGGCATATACGAAGTCATTATACGTACAATTACATCTGCAGCCAGTCCTAAGTTGTTTGCTTGTAGTACGTGTAATGAGTAGTAGAGTAGTGCTTGTTCATGCCGTTGAGATGATGAAGTTAGCCTGGCCTATACAATGGCACCCCGAACCAACACTGAAAGCCCGAACCCCTAAACCTTGACGTCCTGGACCTGAAACTTAGGCCCTTGGCCCTTAACTTCTAGAGCCCAAAACCCGTACCTGCTCAACAGCCATGTCTTGCTTCTTACCCATGGCCTTCATGACATCCCCTCAACCGCCACAGCAATCCGTACATGCTGAGGCTTATGTGCTCATCACTGAGGGAGCTTCGGGTCCCATTGGATTTCAGGATCTACGGTTTAAAGTCTAGGGATGTCCCGGGCTACGGTAGGGGAGTGTGCAGGTTCAGGGATTTAGACGTGAGGGAACCTGGGTGTGAGACGAGCGAGGACTTGGGAGTGAAGACCCAGGGCTTCAGGCCCATGATCCCTAAGCGAAACTCGAAACCTTGAGCCTTCGAGTTTGAGTTTTGTCTCCTGGGTTCCATCAGATCAGCGTGAGATAATGCTTTTTCATCGGGCAGTTTGCCTGCAGCCAGGTTGCCTGGTACCCGGTGCCAACGAGGAGACGTGGCGACGTGCCGCCGCCCCAAGTGTTTCCTTTTTCGGGAATCAGAGCAGTGCACCTAAAACTTCTCAGAACCTGAACACCTGGGTTTGGGATCTCCTCTATCCAGCGGTCCAGGGAGCTTTCCTGACTGAGGCATAAGACGAATGCGCCACGCTACTACTAGGCTTTTGGATATATATATATATATATGCATTTGTCTCGCACTAAAATGACAGTGCAACGAGAATGAAAATACCAGTGCACTCATCTCGAGGGTTTCGGAGTCTCTGTGCGTTGCCCTAGGTGTTCGGAAGACCTTGGGAGAAACATGCACGCTCACAGTTGCGGGAGTTGTACAGCTACAAGTCGGGAACCCTCAGCTCGATCCAAAGCATTTTCGGCGCGTTAGAAATCATTAATACTTTGCCTGGAGAGCCTAGATGTTCATTCTGTCTCGTGCAACTTGAACTCCGACTGTAGGGTGCCACCTTCCCGAACGGCTTGAAGAGGAAATGCTTGGCGTCCGACGATTCTGCTGTTGGGATGCAGAAGTTTTGTGCGGGTTGGAGAAAATTGGGGGTACCTTCTTTCGGCATCCGCTTAACTTATGTAATCAAGGATCCTACGAATTAGCCAGGTTTTGATGCGTCCGAACCGCATGCAACGAAGCCGATTCTGCTGTACTCTCCTCCGAACATCTTCACTTCGAGCTGCTTGATCGTCGCGCAGTCTGGGTTTGATTGAATGCACCTGTCGCTTTGCAATGAACCCGAGGTCTGCTGTCGACTCTGAAGGTGGCGGCGGCGAGAGGCCGTGGCCGAGGGTTATCTAGGCTACGGTGTCGCCATCTGAAGTCTTGCGCAGTGACTGTGAAAGCTGTGACTGCAACCCTTGAGGATGCTGAGCCGTCGGGGAGTGTTGACTGCGGGCAGCATGAAGAAAACTTTGTCAGCTCAGGAGTGTGTCCGTGTGTGGTGAGACATCGCAGGAAATCGAGTGTGTGTAGAGAAAGGTGTTTTGCCCTGGGAAGGCGAGGCCCTTGCTGCCCCCCTCAATTGCTTTTGCATGCGATTGCCAATCCTCCTCTTTCATGTTAATGCGTTGGGGAAGACACCTCTCGATGCAATTCGTGCGTGATGCTTTTCAAACACTTTTGGTCCAGATAGCGAATGTTCTACCTATAGGGGAGGTTCAGCGGCGATGCTCCAGGCCCATGCTTAAACACGTCTAATTAGCCGACGGTACCACCAGGCCATGCCGATCAAACTAGTGAGCATCAATGTCCAAACAGGGTTGCCAACATCGAGGGGGTTTGCCTCCTGCTATCCAATGCTACAGCTGCGTGCGAATGCTTGCATCGGCGAAAAGAAAGACGCCCATTCTCGGACAAAAGATCAGGCTTGATCTTTTCTTGCAAAGATGGCACAAGGGTTTTGTCAGCAGCTCGACTTGTCGAACTTCGAAAGCAGCGGGGTTCGCCTTCCTACCTATTCTCCACGGACCATTATATTTGCCTTCAAGTCTCATGTCCTTCGGTTGAACGAGTGTCTGCGCAAAGCATGCCATCTTACGCTGGCGCTTCACAAACCCTTAAGCCTGACGTACGGGTCTGACACTACAACGCACAACGTGGAGGCCCCAAAGAAGGATCCTGCGAAAGCCTACAGTCCTGTTTCTCTAGTTACAGAGGCCCCTAAACCTTGGGCCCCAGGCCCTGCCCTAATGCTTGCATTCCTGCCGCGGAAGCTTGGCTCCAAGAGATCCTTCTGAACAGGAAGGGATCGTCTTTCCTTTGTAGCTTTTGAAAAAGAACCCACAAGGCTGATACGACTGAAAGCTTTCAAAGCCTCAACTCCACGCCTCTCCTTGAAAGCCTAAAGCTGACCGTTTCAGACCTGGAAAGCATCAGTCCAAAGCGTCTTTTATCCAGACTTTGCTTCATGGCTGCCAATGCCAGCAAACGAAGCGCAACAAAGCATTTGTACGACCACAGGAGCCCCCACAAGAGCTTTCCAACTTTCAGAGCGCGCAGACAGCAACCGACTAGCTACTAAGCCCGAATCTCGAAACTCTAGACCTTCACCCTAAACCCTCAACCCCTGCAACATCTATTGATGCCGGCTGGGCATGCCGTCCTGCGCAGCACCCTGCTGGTCCGGCTCCCAAACGTGAAGAAGGGGGGCCTGGATCATTAGAGGTAGCATTCCCTTCGCAGTTATTCGAAAGAAGGCAACCTCATATGACCACAAAAATACTCTAGTGCAAGTGTTATAGTACGACAACAATGCCCCCCCAAAACCTAATTCTCGTCACTAAGGCCCCTTTTTGGGGTCCTTGGGTTTACCAGAAAGCTCACAATCCCTAAACCCACATCGAGGAATCTCTGAGTTCTCTTCAAGATTATGCGATTTGAGGTATCGTAAGCATATTTGAGTTTAGGGGTTTGGGGTTTAGAGAGTTTATGATATGAGTTCGCTTCGGCTTATGATGATGGGCGTCAAGCAAGAGAGGTGCTTTCGGCATTTTTACAATGCGGAATCACTGTGGATTTGAGTCCAACGGCCTGCAAACAGGGCTTTGGACACGGGGTGTTGACGCCAACAAGTTCATGGTCGTCGCGGTATACAGGTTTTTCCGGTTTGCTGGAAAGCTTGTGCTCCTTGTTGCCTCAACTGGTAAGCGTGCAACCGAAGCTTCTACTTAATGGCCTCTAACTCCTACACCCTAAACCCTAAACCTTCTAAAGCCTGTCACAGTGGCTCGAGCGAGCTAGTTGGCCTTGCCTGCTTTGCCTTGATCAAGCTCTAGGCGAGTATTGTCCTTGGACTCCTGTCACTTCAGTTCAGTCTTCTGACGCTCGCTTGATTTTCACACAACGATGACCGTCGGCAGCGATGATGATCATGATGACATCGATGAATGAGCATGTTGAGGTTGAGGTGGATGTTAATGATGACGGTGGTGAGAGCACTGCGCCGCGCTGTTCAGATTAGCCAGGGGTCCTGTCGCTTTCCGTGAAAAAAGGAGGCCGTCTATGCACTTCGCAAATCGGCAGGCTGGCTGGCTCCTGGGTCCCAAGGCGGAGAAGGAGGCACTCACCCTATCTCACCCTCCAACCTCGCGATGTCCTTATGTACGAGTGTGGGTGTGGGGTTTCAGCCCCGCGCATCTGGTTCATACAGGGTTTAAGCTGGGTTGAGGGACGAGGGCATGGGGTTTAGGGCTTTCTGGGTTTGGGAGCTTGAGTCCGGTTCCGAGCCGAGGTTTTGGTGATGCCTCGAGTTCCAAGCCTCCAAACCCATCATGGCAGCCGCAGGCGGACAATGCCAAGTTGCACCTCACCGGCCAGGCTCGGGTCCTGTTTATAGCCGGGGGTGGGAGAGCCCAGAACCCTAACTAAACCGAACCTAGAACCCTAAGCCTACTTTCAGTAGAATCTGTCCAAGCTACACCCAAGGGCGCGACGCAAAAAAGAATCAATCCGACATACTAAAACCTTTACAGCGAGTCGTAGTTGACCAGAGGACCGTATTATTGTTTGTTTCTGAAGGCTGCCAACCACGCTTGTCCAATCATTCAGACCCCCTATGTTGGGCTGAGGATATCTTCGGCAGGCAGGTCCTTCTCTACAGCGCTTCAGCTGGAAGAAGCTTTTCTCGTGAGAGTTCAATCCTCTCGGATTTGAGGGCTTTTTAGGGGCAGGGTCTGTCTGAAAAACATGTCACCTTGAATGCAAAGCAAAGGAAGGAGCTCTTTTGCGCGCCCAAAGTCTTGACATCCGGAGCCCGTCCGAGGGATCTCGCAGCCAGAGGGAGCCCACCCAAACCTGGGAAGTTCTGAAGAGCCGGTTGAACCGCTTGCTTTTTTGCAGTTGCCAGGCCTCGTGCCCATGCCTGGATTCCGTGGAGCAGCTGGCAGACGAGATGGCCGACACCTCAGACAGTACGCAGCTTCATGAGTTGAGGGTTTTGGGTCTATGGGGTTTGCGCCTTGCGCGGCCGGGGTCTGTCAAAGGCGTTCAACTTTGCTCGCTGCAGCTCAAACGCTGTCAGTTGAGGTTTCAATCCGGCAGCGTCCACAAGTGCAGCAGACTAGGCTAACCCAAAGACCCCCAGATCCTAGCCCCCTTTTAAAACCCTTGTAGAAGGTGGTTGCAAGCCACAGTGAGGTCAACACCCAGACGAACGAGAAGCCGGGAAGCAGCTTTGTGCAGTGCTCGGTGCTTCGGGATGAGGGATTTAGGGATTTCAGGGGTTTAGGCCGAGTTTCGAAGTTTTAGTGTGGGGCTTCGTGCAGCGCATGGTTTTCGGCTTCTTGGGGGTTTTGAGGGTTTTGGGTTTGGTTAGGGTTTCGGTTCAGAGTCAAAT